CTGAGCATGACGCCCTCGATGCTCGCTGTCATGGATCCTTCTGGAGACTATGATAGGGTCCAGTACATATATCTCGGTGGCGAAGCGCCCGTGATGGATGTCGTCAATCGCTGGATCACTCCAACTCGCAAGGTGCTCACCACATATGGCCCTTCAGAGACAACTGTCACCATCAGCTTTGGAGAACTCAAGCCAGGGGAGGATCCTCCGTTTGGTGACCTTATCCCAAACGTCGAGGTTGTTCTGGTAGACGAGAATCTGCAGGAATCCAGCTACGGCGAGGTCATGATCACGGGACCAGGCCTGGCAGCTGGCTACTATAAGAATCCTGAACTCACAGCCCAGAAATTCATCGAGTGGAACGGGAAAAGGTTTTACAGGACTGGCGACCTTGCTCGACGATACAAAGATGGCCAAATCATATGGGCCGGGCGAGCAGATTCTTTGATCAAGAACAGAGGGTTTCTTGTCAACCTCGACACTGAGGTTGAGCCAGCACTCGCCTCATTCAAGCCCGTAAGAGTTGCTGTGGCCTTCAAGTGGCGAGAGCGTCTGGTAGGATGTATTCAACCCGCCAATGTCAACATTGAGGAGCTCCGTCAATTTATGAGAGAGCGATATGATCCTTTTATCATCCCCGACATCATCGTTGCCCTGGACTCCTTTCCCCTACGACCAAACGGAAAGGCGGATCGAGGTGCCCTCAAAGAGCAGCTGGATGAAGTGGAAGTGGAAGAGGAAGAGCTTGCTTCGGAGGGAGAAACAAAGACAGTTTCGGCGTATGACGTGCTGCGCGCGGCTTTCTCTCAAGTATTACACGTTCCAGCCCAACAGCTCAGTGAGACATCAGCATTCACCAAGAATGGGGGAAACTCTCTTACAGCTCTCAAACTCACCAATCTACTGAACAAGAAGGGGTTCTCTGTTTCTGTGGTCGATGTGCTGAAGCTGGATACCATTGGGCAACTACAAAGTGTCTTGAAGAGATCGACACCCTCAGATGACAAAGGAGGTGGCCAAGAGCTAGAGGTTGGGTTCTGTGATATCCCAGTGACTCCAGTACAGAGGCTATTCCTCAACCGGTCTCTGGAATATCCCAAGTTCTGTGCTCTTATTGGTACGACTCGCTACGTTGGAGATGCCTCCAAGACGCCAACCGCCAGTGAGATTCGCGATGCTTGCGTCAAGGTCTGGTCAGCACACAGTATCTTCCGAACACGCTTTGATCTGGAAAGCTTTACTCTTTCTGATCTGGGCAGACTGAATCTTGACTGGCATGACGTGATTGTTGAGCAAGACAACTTCGAGGCAGCGTGTGCAGCCGCCGAGGAGAGAGCCTGGTCATCTTTGGAAAGCCTCAAGCCGTCAGATACCGAAGTTCCTTACTGCGATATGACATGTGTTTCTGTACCTGGCCGTAAGGCCTTGGCACTCATTAGTCGAACCCATCACGTATTGGTTGACGTGTTTTCGTCTGCGATACTCTCGGCTGATGTGGAGAGGGCGTTGGCTGGTGAAGACATTGTCTCGAGGCCTCGATTTCAGGACTTTGCGCGCTTCATGCAGAAGTATACGAGGGAGAACTTGGCGAGGGCAACAGATGCTTTCAACAAGATGATTCAACCGCTTCACAAAGATGCCATCTTAAATCTCCCTCGCCCAGCGACACTCCCGTCAAAGCAAGCTTTTGATCTGGTGCGATTTAAAGCACCCACGTCCATCAGTAGAGCTAAACTCGACGCTGCAGTTCACAGACTCGGCATTACGAACAGTACCATGGCGTATGCGTCTTGGGCTTTGTTTCTGGCAAAAGTGACAGGATGGAACCAGCTCGGATTCTCTATTAGTCTATCAGGACGTACTATCCCTTGGCCAGAGGTTGAGTCAGTAGTCGGTCCTTTGCTCTCCCGAGTCCCATTTAGTACCCCTGTTCCATCAAGCGGGCGTGTTCAGGAGTGGTTGGCCCAGGTGCATAAAGCTACACTTGATACCCTCGAGTTCGACGGCCTCTCTCACGCCCTGCCCGACTCTATCATGGCAGATCCCCGCCTGAACGCGACGATAGTTCTCTGCTTCCTCGATGTGCCGCAGCCATCAGCCAACTGGACTTATAGTGATAAGCAGCGTCACAACTACCTCCTGAATTGGTCTATCTTCCAAGAGGGTGATGATGTGACGAACGTTCTTGAGGTACAGTCTTCGGGTGTTGATATGGAATGGGCTGAGAAGATGAAGGGGGTTCCTGGCGATCTTCTGGAGTCGCTGGTGGACTCGACAGAGGATACTCTCATCGAGAGTCTTCTCTACTGAGAGGTAATTCACTGAGAGCATGACATGTTGAGCTTGGAATTGAGGAGGTAGCATTTGAGATAGAACCATAGTTTGAGATACGGATAATTATGCCCGAAATGGCACTGGTTCTGCAATGGCACTTGATCTCTGTGTTGACCTCCTTTGGCTTCTAGAATGAGTGAGAGTATACACCTGAGACTAGCTAGGTAGTCCAGGGCCTCCTCTCGGCAAACTTAGGTATCCAGCCTAAAGTATATTTGAGAGACCGGGTTTCTCTTTTTGTATTTTTGGCTATTCTACGCCTAGACAGCTCCTCGCCTTGGTTGAGTTGATATGTGAGCCATCGAACCTCACAGTTGTATGTTTACAAGCAAGATATAATACTAATGAGTAAGTTACTAACTGACAAGACCTAGTCTAACCAAACTAAACCAATGTTCACTCAACTCCAAGTATCAAGACTGACGTGTTAGTTGCATGGAGTTGACCTTTCGTGCAGCAGAAGGTAGGGAGTTCTTATTGCCGCTCTGCGACATCTCAATCATCTCCGATGCCCAGTCTCCAACCGCTGCCACAAGTGCATCTATCTCCTCGCGAGAGTTGTGGGCGTGAAAAACAAGCCGGATACGACTGGCTCCCTTTGGCACAGTCGGGTACGAGATCGGGTATGCATTCATGTTGGCGATGATGAGGTGGTAGAACAGGTACATCTCATGACCGTGGTGTAGGAGAATCGGCATGATATGTGAATGATATGGACGCTGTTGCCATTCATCGGCGAGCGGGACAGTTATCAAACCCTCGTCGATGGCCTCTTGCCATACGGGGTGATCTGTGATGCTCTGCAAGAAGTACTTGACAATTTCCTGGATGTGGTTCTGTTGCTGTGTTGTTGTTAGAGTCAGAGCCATGGTATTAAAGGGGAGAGCAAACATACATCTTGAGTATGGCCGTTTCGTAGAAATTGGTACCCAGCACGAATACAAGCTACCATGGGAACTGATGGTGCACCGCTATAAGTCAGTGATCGGGCATTCTGGATAATCACATTCCGGATGGTCTGGTTGCAAAGAATGACACCTAACACGAATTGTTAAAAGGAGACACGCGCTACGAAGCCTAAGAGACGTACCGCCTGTTGCACCTAAGGCTTTACTGCACACGTGGACTCTTATGGCGATGTCTTTCTCAAGACCTAATTCCTGGACCTATTTTCGAGGGTCAGACAACAGTGAGTACTCGTGGGATGTGACTACTTACCAGTCCGCCACCTCTTGGGCCAAGAACACCGCTGCTATGGGCCTCGTCTATAATGAACTGGGCATTGCCAGCAGGGAATAGTTCCTTGGCCAGTTGGACAAATTCGACCAATGGGCAGATATCTCCCTCCATGCTATAGATCGACTCAACACAGATGAGGATTGACTTGGCCCCCGAGCGAAATGACGGATCCTCGTCTCTGAGCGAGGTCAACACATCTCGGAGGGAATCGATGTCGTTGTGCTTGAAGGATATCTTGTGGGCAGCGTTGCTTAGCTTTACTCCCAAGGCCGTACTCGCATGTGAAAACTCATCCCACACAATGGCATCACCAGGCAATGGCACGGCCTCAAAGATGGCAACATTGGCCAGGAAGCCTGAGTGACAGATCCAAGCCGTATCTGCATTATGAAACGCCGAGATCTCCTTCTCAACCACATTGAGGTAATCATAGTTACCGTATTGTGTGCGTGAGCCCGAGGCACTGAGTCTGAAGTCACCGCAGCGAGCGAGTTCTTCCATGGCAGTCTCACGGATGCGTCCCGATCGACTCAGGGACAGAAAGTCACTTGACGTGAAGTCGAGGACATCATCTTCCCATCGAGGCTTGAGTGTAATACAACCCCCTCTCTTGCGGGTAACATCTAGTGATTGTTCTAATCGGCGATAAAAGGCGGCTTCGGATTTCATCGACGGACCGCGGAGGGTTTGGCCACGAAGATGCGAGTCAAGGACGGATTTGTAATACATTTTGACAATATAGTATGACCAGGAAGAATGATCTGAAGGGATTTGACTAGTTATGAAGCCTAGAAATTACAATAACAACAATTGCAATAATAATTGCAAAGATATACATATGCTCGATACCGTGTGGTATAGGGTGAGGTTAAGTCCCCAACGAGTTGTTCTGCCCATCTGTCCACCCCGTCATAGAAACGAGGCAACTATCTCTCAGCAGATTCTGTAGTATCCAAGATATTACACGGATCGAATGATAGTGCAAGGGGTCTCACAGTGGCTGACATGACAGAAACTGACACGCATTACTGCATCTGCAGTGGCTGACATGCATCTGTCTACCCCTGTTTGCATGATATGCATGAACGCTGAACAAGATTTTGCAGGGATAAGCATAGGACAGGGCTCGATTGTAGGCGGGCTGAGACCTTGCAGGTTGAGCCCCATTGTGCTCTACAGCTGCGTGTAAGCAATTGCAAGGGTTACAGGAAAACAGTCAGTTCAGAGATGACAATGTCAGTCTCTGGAATAGTACGGTTGACCGAATTGGAAGTCAGCCAGCCCCAACATGTTGAATTTTTTAATCTAGTGGTTGGATGTGAGAGAACATAAGAGCTCATGAGCAGCTGAGATGTTAGGGAAGTTTACCAGATCATTCTATTCATCCTCTCACCTTGACTTCATTCTTCCTTGTAAAGTTGGACAACATGACCCAAATGAACGGCCACAGCGAGCTTAATGGCCATAATGGAGAACTCTCCAACGGAACCATGAATGGACATGTCAACGGCCATACCAACGGTCAAACAAACGGGCACACCAATGGCCATGCTCTTAACAGAAACCAGACTGAGGGGATCAATGGCAGCATCACCAACGGCCATAGCACACAGAGCAACGGACACACCATGCCCATTCCCACTGCCGCTGAAGCCAATGCCCCCAAATCCTCCTTTGAACCCATCGCCATCTGCGGAATGGCATGTCGACTCCCTGGAGGAATTGCTTCTCCCAGTGACTTGTGGGAGTTTCTTCTCGAGGGAGGCGATGCTCGAGGCCGCGTTCCTATGACAAGATTCAATATTGACGGTTACTACAATGCTCACAAGACTGGGAGTGCCAACTGTCAGTACGGCTACTTCCTCGACGAGTCCGTTGATCTGGCTGGGCTAGATACATCCTTCTTCTCCATGTCTCGCCGCGATGTCGAGTGGCTCGACCCTCAGCAGAGGCTGATGCTTGAAGTGGCGAGGGAGTCGGTCGATGATGCTGGTGAGGTCAACTTCCAAGGCTCGAGCACCGGCGTATATATCGGTTCGTTTGCAAATGACTGGTACGATATCATGGGGAGAGATCCTCTACACAGAAGTGTTGTTTCGACTATTGCATCGCATGACTTTATGATCTCGGAACGTATCTCTCACGAGATGGATCTGAGAGGGCCAAGGTATGAAGCTTCGCTTATCAATGCTGGGCGGCGACTAACGAGTCCATAGTATGACCATCCGAACCGCCTGTTCATCTGCTTTGGTCAGTCTGAACGAGGCTTGTATGGCCATTGGCAAGGGTGACTGCGAATCTGCCATTGTCGGAGGAACAAGTCTCATCCTGGCCCCTGATCTGCTTACACGATTGGCCGACCAAGGTATTATCAGCCCTGATGGTTCATGCAAGACATTTTCCGCCGAAGCCAACGGTTATGCTCGCGGTGAAGCCATCGTCTCCATCTACATCAAGTCACTGAGCGCCGCTATCCGAGACGGGAACCCCATTCGTTCCATCATCTCTGGTGCTGCCGCCAACTTTGACGGGAAGACTAATCCTCTGACGAACCCAAGTGTTACGGCCCAGGAGACATTGATCAGGAGAGCGTACTCCGTCGCAGGCATCCGTGATGTTTCCAAGACAGCTGTGTTTGAGTGCCACGGAACAGGAACTGCAACTGGTGATCCAATCGAGACTGAGGCGATTGCTGCCGTGTTTGGCGAACAGGGCATCTACCTCGGATCGGTCAAGCCAAACCTGGGACACTCTGAGAGTGCCTCTGGGCTTACTGCCGTCCTCAAGGCTACCCTGTCTCTGGAGCACAAGATGATCGCCCCCAACATCAAGTACTCTCCCGTTAACCCCAAGATTCCCTTCGAGCGTGCCAAGCTCGTTATTCCTGAGGAACCAACACCATGGCCAGCTGGACGTGACGAGCGCATCAGCATCAACTCTTTCGGTGTTGGTGGTTCCAACGCCCACGCTATCGTTGAGTCTGTCGAGAGCTTCATGGCATCTCACCCGCAAGTTATCCCCAAGCCAGCGACCGAACCAAACTCTGAGGACGAAGGTCCCAGACTGTTGCTGTTCTCGGCAAAGACTACGCCCTCTCTCAAGGCAATGACCGCCAGCTATGAGGCCCTCTTTGACAGTGGAGATGTGTCGAACCTATCTGACATTGCATACACGCTTGCAACCAGAAGAGAACACTTCAGCCACAGGTCTTTTGCCATCGCTACCAAAGAAAATATCCAAGTTAGCACCTCCGCGCTCTCCAGGGAGAATCCATCTTCCCCAAGCTCTCTCATCATGGTATTCAGCGGCCAGGGTGCTGCTTGGCCTCAGCTTGGACGAGAGCTACTGCTGTCCAACAGCGTCTTCTCAGGTACTATAAGTGCGCTACAGGAGCATCTTGGAACGCTCGGCTCTGCTTCACCAACCTGGTCTCTTGCCGAAGAGATTCTCAAACCAGCCCGAACAAGCAGAATCTACGAAGCTGAATTCTCTCAACCGCTGTGCACCGCATTACAGATCGCCCTCATCGACACCTTTGCCTCGGTCGGGGTAAAGCCTGATGCTGTTGTCGGCCACTCTAGTGGTGAAATTGCTGCGGCGTACGCTGCTGGGGCTTTGACGGCGAGGGAGGCCATCATCATTGCCTTCTTCCGTGGTTCAACAACTGCTGAGCAGAAGAACCTACAGGGTGGAATGGCTGCTATTGGTCTTGGATGGGCAGACGCGGAGAAGCATCTCAAGCCCGGTGTGGTCATCGCTTGTGACAACTCTCCCACCAATGTCACCATTTCTGGTGACATTGAGCCGCTGCAAGCTGTAGTGGCTGAGGTGAAGGAAGCTCACCCAGGGGTCCCCGCCACTACTCTCAAGGTCGACAAGGCCTATCATTCTCATCACATGCTGGGTGCTGGCGATATCTATCACGCAGCCCTCGTTGATTCAGGGGTTATTGGGAAAGCACCTCAGATCCCTTTCTTTTCCAGTGTGACTGGTGAGCTTCTCTCTGGGACAGAAAAGGCGAATCAGCTTGGTCCAAAGTACTGGCAGACGAACTTGGAACGACCTGTCTTGTTCCGATCTGCCGTGTCGTCAATCATCGCATCTTCTGAGCCAAACCATCACCAAGTCTTTTTGGAGCTTGGCCCTCACTCCGCTCTTGCTGGGCCCCTGAGGCAGATTCTGACAGACAAAGCAAGCAAGGCTTCGTACGTCCCATCCCTGGTCAGAAAGCAAGACAGTGTCGAGAACTTCCTACAGGCCATTGGAAAACTCTACAGTCTGCATATGGATGTTGACTTGAAGTCATTGTTTCCCACTGGTTCTTGCGTCGCTGGCCTGCCTTGCTACCCATGGAACCACCAGAATCGCCTCTTCTTCGAGTCTCGCTTGGCCAAGGAATGGCGAGAGCGAGAGTTCCCGGACCACAACCTTCTGGGAATACGGAGTCATGAGAGCACCAGCCTAGAGCCATCGTGGAGAAATCTCCTCCAGGTGTCTCGCACCCCATGGATTGCTGATCACAAGATCGGCGAGACGATAGTCTTCCCCTTTGCGGGATACATTGCCATTGCATCAGAAGCCTGCAGGCAAATCACTGGCATCCAAGAAGGAGTTAGTCTGCGGAACGTCAAGGTCCACACGGCTTTGGTCATTGAGGAAGATGGTGCTACAGAGATCGTCACTACCCTGCGCCGTGTGAAGCTGACAGAAGAGCAAGACAGTGAGTGGTGGGAGTTCTCTGTGAGCTCACACAATGGCCACGTATGGATCAAGCATTGCTGGGGACAGGTTCGGGGAGAGCAGAACCCGTTCCCTGAGAAAGAGGTTATCAAGAAAAGTGACGATGTGCTGCCACGAGAGGTCAACGCTTCCAAGTGGTATGAAGTCGTTTCTGAAGAGGGACTCACCTATGGGCCTACTTTCAACACCATGAAAAGCATCTGTACATCGACAAAACCACCTCATCAAGCCTCAACAACTATACAGAATGGTGAGAGCCGGTGGGATGATGCTTCAGAGTATCACATGCACCCCATTGTCCTCGACACCTTCTATCAGTTGGTGAGCTGCACATCTACACTTGGAATCTGCCGTTCCTACCGACGACTCGTTGCTTCAAGCATTGAGTTCATGACCATGGCTCGGTGCAATGATGAGAGAGTGAGCATCGAGGTGTCTTCAGAGCTTGGACAGGACCTCGTTGGTAGCGGTACCGTGTTTTCAGGATCGAAGCCCGTCATGCGAGTCATCAACTCTCATTCTTCATTCTTTGAAGAGGGAGATGTAGGCGAAAACGCCAAAGTCCCCATCACGGCGAGATGCGAGTGGGTGCCAGACATCGATTTCAAGTCGCTTGGGGATCTTTTGAAGTGTCCTGAGGATACCGAGGACTCATTCAGGAACGTAACGGAGCTTTCCAAGATATTGATCGCCCAGGCGCATCGATTGGCTTCCAGTGTTGATGTTCAAGTTCCTCATCTGATCATGTACAAGAACTGGCTCGACAAAGTCATGGACCCGAGCCTTGCGGCTTCTGACGACGTGGACCTGGCCAACATCTCCAAGTCTCTTTCTCAGAAGATCCAAGGCAACGGAACTTCGCCAGCAAGGCTTGCCGCCGAAGCAATGATTGCGACTTATGATAAGCTTCGCGATCTTCTGAGTCAACAAGAGGCTGAAGTCACGGAACTTGATTCTCATTCACCACTCGAAATGGTGTCTCAGCCGGATATTTCCAATTTCCTCCTATCTCTCGGCAACAAAAAGCCTACACTCAGAGTTCTGGACTTCTACTCGGGATCTATCGAGACAACTTCCAAGGCTATCGAGGTTCTTACTCGCAATGATGGCACTCGTCTGTTCTCCAAGTACACCATCGCCACGCCTTTACTGGGTATGCCAGAGGCTTCAAGCGAACACCTCAAGAAACTAGTGCCCGACATTGAATTTACGACTCTTGATCTCAACCAGAGTCTAGCAGACCAAGGGTTTGATGACCGACAGTTCGACCTCATTATCGCCTCGGGCACCGTTAGCTCGGCCATGAACGCAGAGAAGTCCCTCGAGAGTCTTCGAAACTTGTTGAGTCCTTCTGGAAGACTTCTGCTTCAGGAACCTCGACCTGATTCACTTTGGGTCAAGTTCGTTCTTGGAACTACTCAAAGATGGTGGTCACATGAGGACAGACGTATTGAGGGGCCAATCGTGGATTCGGAAACACTCCAAAGACTCTTGGAAACATCCAACTTTGCCAATGTGGAACAGCTGAGTTTGGCTCCCTGGGCTGCTACTGTCGTGGTGGCCAGGCGGGAGCCCAAAAATACACCTAAAAAGCGAATCACTTTGCTATGTCATGGAGGGGGACCATCTGAGCTGACACGGGAGCTTGAAGCTCAAGGCTACGCTGTCGATCGCTGCTTTTTGGACCAGACTCCTCCTCTTGGTCAAGACATCATGGCTGTTCTCGATGAGCAAGGCCCCTTTATCGAGAGTATCGACGCCGACGGGTTCTCAAAGCTCAAGACATTTGTCAACAGCATCCAGAGCCCCAATGGCCTTCTTTGGGTAACACGCCAATCGAGTGTTGAGTGTCAGGATCCCAGATTCGCTCAGACAATAGGGTTCACTCGCACTCTCCGCAACGAAACATCTACGGATATCGCTGTCTGTGAGGTAGACAACATCACATCGCCCGAGAATCTGGCAACTCTGGTCAAAGTTCTGGCCCAGTTCCAGACCAGGAGTCAGGATGGTGTGCTCGGCCCGGACCTGGAGTATGTCATCAGGAAGGGTGAGGTTCTGGTGAATCGAATCTTCCCGGCCGCGCTGGATAAGGAGCTAGAGGATGAAGTGAGTGAGAGTGAGGCATATATCACTATGACACAGCCAGGTCGTATGGAGAGCTTGTTCTGGGCATCACAGCCTCCAACTGATCCCAAGGACGACGAGATTGAGGTTGAAGTATATGCCAGTGGCCTCAACTTCCGTGTCAGTATCCTTTCCTATACAGATGTTTCCTTACTGACTTGGACGCAATAGTACGTCTTAGTTGCCATGGGAATAATCCCACCGGCCAAGAGTCTCAAGTTTGGTTACGAAGCGGCCGGCGTTGTCCGAAGGGTTGGTTCCAACGTCACCAAGCTTCGTCCTGGTGACCGTACTGTCTTTGTCGGAGAGGACACCTTCAGTACTGTTGTGAGAGTACCTGAACTTCTGGCCCAAAAGCTGCCTGACGACATCAGCTTTGTTGACGCCTCGGCCATTCCTATTGTCTTCTTAACTGCTGTCTACGGCCTTATCGATCTGGGACGCCTCACTAGAGGCCAGGTACGTCTATGACACTATACTGACTGTGTCTAGTGTGATGCTGACACCTTTTGCAGTCCGTTCTCATTCACAGCGGTTGTGGCGGTGTAGGACTTGCTGCTATTCAAGTCGCCCGCATGCTTGGTGCCGAGATTTACACAACAGTTGGCAGTGAAGCCAAGGTTGAGTACTTGACCAAGACATTTGGCATCCCCAGAAACCATATCTTCAGCTCTAGAGATGCGTCATTCGCCACAGATCTGCTACGGGAGACTGGAGGTAAAGGTGTCGATGTCGCTCTGAACTCGCTGAGCGGAGAACTTTTGCACACAACCTGGAAGTGCATCGCCAGATGGGGCACCATGGTTGAGATCAGTAAGAGGGATCTCCTCGGAAACGCCCAGCTTGATATGAGCCCTTTCTTGGAGAACCGCAACTATTGCTGCATGGATGTTGACCAACTGAGAGCTGAGCGTCCCGAGGTTATCAACCGGTAGGTCACTATTCCTTCTGATAAGAAAATCAATCCTAACATATGTAGTCTTCTCTCTTTTATTATGAACTGCTTCTCCAACCGCATCCTCAAACCAATCCGGGTCGATCAGGTGTTCCCCGGCTCTGCGGTCCTAGATGCCTTCAGACACATGCGGCAAGGCAAACACATGGGCAAGATTGTTCTTGAGATCCGAGATGCCACTGGAAAGCCTCTGACTGGCCCAGTTCAGGCCACTAAGATAACCAATCTCCAACTCGACGGAAGCGCATCATATCTACTTGTTGGTGGCCTGGGTGGTTTAGGCCGCGCCCTCTCCGTTTGGATGGTCGAAAGAGGTGCCCGAAACCTAGTATTCCTGTCTCGCAGCGCCGGAAGCAGCACTCAGCATGACAATTTCAAGAAGGAGATCGAGAGCATGGGCTGCAGTGTCCAGTTTATTCGTGGCGACGTAACCAACGCCGACGACGTCACCCGCGCCATTGGCGAGGTGTCTTCTCCTCTCAAGGGCATTATCCAAATGTCCATGGTTCTTCGAGACCGCATGTTTGAAGACATGACGTTCCAGGAGTGGGAGGCGACAACTCGACCAAAGGTTCAGGGCACCTGGAACCTACACAAGGCGTCTCTGGCTGCCAAGTGCCCCCTCGATTTCTTCCTTCTCTTCAGTTCCTTATCTGGCATACTTGGTCAAGTCGGACAAGCCAACTACGCCAGCGCAAACACTTTCCTCGATGCCTTCGCTCGATACCGAGCTGGAATGGGACTTCCTTGCACATCCCTTGATCTCGGAGCCATGGAAGGCATTGGATATCTTGATGAGAACCAGGACTTGCTCCGAAAGATGAAGGGCACCGGATGGCGTCCTGTAGACGAGAGTGAATTAGTCGAAGCACTTAACATTGCTCTGATGCCTCCGTCCTCTCCCCAAGAGTACGGCGATGCATTCCTCCTCGGTGTTGCTCCCACTGTTCCTCTAGGAAGCGCAGAGAGTAGCACGCGTCTAAGCAAGGACGTGAGAATGGCGGCATATCACAACATCGGCCGCGGCCAAAGTGGCGCACTGCCAGCAAACGATGGTCTCCGTGCTTTCCTCTCTTCGGTCAAGAAGGATCCCAGCATCCTCAACTCTCACGAGTCTGTCAACACACTTGCCTTGGAGATTGGTAAGAAGTTGGCCAGTCTGCTCCTCACTGGCGACGTGGACCTGGACATCAGTATGAACACTGCAGATATGGGACTTGATTCCTTGGTTGCTATTGAGTTACGTGGCTGGTGGAAACTCACATTTGGTTTTGAGATTAGCACACTCGAGATGCTTAGCATGGGAACGTTGGAGGCATTGGGTAAGCGCACTGCGGAGGGGCTCAAGGGGCTCTATGATCACTAGAATATTGTTGAAGGGGGAGTTTGGACGGTAGAAACCCTTTGTAATGTTTGACACCCTGCTATTTTGGGCATTGTGTAAGCTCTCAACTGTGATATAGCAAGACAGGATAGAACGGTGGGATCACATCTTTATCTCAAGTTTAGGATATTTCGGGATTTATCAGTATCCCAGGCTTTTGAACTCGTAATGACAATCCAGTTGCCGAGTTTATTCTGATGCTTTATACTGAGGTCTAATGTCTTCTTCCTCCTCAAGTGACAGATATGAATGAATGTGTGGTGAGATGCATGGCTCGATTATCTCTGTCAGCCAACATCTCTCAAGTAGGTATACAAAGGACTGTACTTAACAAAGTCGTTTTAACATGGAATAGAACAGCAACTAACTAGTAAGAATTCTAGGGGTCTAAATGAATGAAGTCATCCAAAACTCAATATCAAGGCACGGAATGTAGTAGCGTTCCCGTCTCGTTCAAAAAATGACCGCGTAATGTGGAATGAGGTGCCCATCGCAAGCAGCTGATCACTAAACCCGACCCGACCTGACCTCACTCAGCGGGAAGCTCGGGCCCTTGCAACTCCCGTAGGCCCCAGGCCCCCTAAAACAAACTGCCCCGCCATAGGAGTGATGTCGACGCTCAGTGCTGATTGGCCCCCATCGTTCTCTAATGACCGGTTTCGACGGAGCGAGATTGGAGGACACCACAGAAACAAGGGCGAGCTTACCGTCATTGTACATACATGTGTGCTCCATGTTTTGTTTCTAGACCCTTTTTCTGCTCGTGTCTATGCCGTTCTTGTATTTCTCGACCTACCTACGGTCAACCACTGTTTACGAACCCGGCTCCCTCGGTCGAGGTCCCATTTCCTTTCCTTTCACCGTCATCGTTTCTTTAAATCAACTATTCCTCTAGTTCCTGCGATAATACTTGGTCTTGTGTTTCGAAATAAATGCTCAAAGCCATGGTGACGGCAAAACTTACCCTCTAGCATATCTTACCCTCGAATACCTATAAGCTCTATCGAGCACGTGCAGCTTCAAATCACAACCAACCTGTCCCACGACGACCTGACATCTTTGATTGCCTGCGCGCTGCGACGAGATGCTTCTCCTCCATCAAGTCGGCAGCCTCAAGACAGGCGAAGTCGTTCGATATACTATAACATACATACCCTCTCAAGACCGCATCTTACCGTCACCTGAGAAGCTCTTCCTGCGCGTGCGCAACACTTCGGCCATCGCCCTCCGAGCCGCTTTCGTCCACGGACCGTATACTCTTTCCGCCGCCGCTTACCCCGCTGCGTTCAACCCCAACGAGAAGTTCGAATATCCCGAACGCTATGGAGTTCCAGAGTTTGAGCCCATGGTCAAGGCGGGGGGCTCTTGGGAATGCGAGCTTGTGGTTCCGGTTACAATCCGACAGACTGCTGGGTTAGGAAGTCATGGAGGGTTTGGAAAAGCGCCAGAGCATGATCATGAAAGCGCCAGTTGGATTGTTGAGGTCTCTTCGCAGATTCTGTTCTCGACTTCTGCCGCTGTTGGGTTCGAGGTTGTGTTGGCTCGGGACAAGAAGTCTTTAAGCCTCAGCAACTCGAGTCCTGTGGTCGGTGGACAATCCCAGGTTCCTCAGCCTGGAAAGATCAGCGACTACCAACAAGGTGTAGAGGCTAAAGAAGGACATCATTCTGCGCAGCCACGAGGTGTCTTTTCTCGCGCGATACAACTCAAGGTCGAAGATACTGCAGCATTGTGGAATACCCCTAGACTTCCAGGCTGGGATGACAAAGGAGAGGGGCGCGCTGAAAAGCGTTCAGGTGCAGATCAGCATGTAGAAAGTGTCGTCAAGACAGGCGATCCCGAAACAAAAGGCGATGAATCAAAACCAGAGAAGCCCAAAAAGAAACAGAAAAAGGTCCACATGGTGGTTCTGACACATGGTCTGCACAGCAATCTTGGCGCAGATATGCTCTTCATGAAAGAGAGCATCGATGCAGCTGTCAAGCAAGCCAAGATCGATGCCAAGGCACGGCGGGCCCGGGAACGAGCCGCGAGGAAGAAATCAGGCAATGGCCTCGTCGAATCAGATTCTCACGATACAAAGGACATGGACAGAGTGGAGGGTGAAGATGATGACGACGATGATGATGAAGAGGTTATTGTTCGTGGTTATTCAGGCAACTCGACCAAAACTGAACGAGGGATTAAGTATCTCGGGAAGAGGCTCGCTAGATACGTCCTGTCCATGACATACCCAGATCAGCCATTCCTACCGACAGGGAAAGGAATGGCGGATGCTATAACTTATAACTTTGATAAGCACGATCCCCAGCAGAAAGCGGTACACAAACACAGTACTATTCATCTCGGCAAGGATGGGGCTCATCTTCACAAGGCAGAACGTCCATACAAGGTTACCAGCATAAGTTTCATTGCTCACTCTCTCGGTGGTCTTGTTCAGACATACGCCATTGCATATATACAAAAACACTCACCACAGTTCTTCGACCTCATCAAACCAATCAACTTTGTTGCGTTGGCTACACCATTTCTGGGTCTGAGCAACGAAAACCCTCTATACGTCAAGTTTGCTTTGGACTCTGGTCTCGTTGGCAGAACAGGAAAGGATCTTGGCCTGACATGGAGAGCTCCGACACTTGCACGGAGTGGTTGGGGCGCTATTGTGGGAAATTTGGGTGAGACGGCGCATAAGAAGGTTTACGGGGAGACACAACCTGAGTCGAAACCGCTTCTAAGAATCTTACCGACTGGCCCTGCACATACCGCGCTGAAGAAGTTCCGAAACAGGACTGTTTACTCCAACGTTGTCAATGATGGAATTGTCCCGCTTCGCACAAGTTGTCTGTTGTTCCTGGACTGGCAGGGACTCGGGCGTGTGGAGAAAGCTCGACGAGATGCTGGCTTGGTCGAAACAGTCGTTGGGTTCGGGTGGGCTGAATTAACGGGCACGAATCAGGCTCGTCAAAAGCAACTTGGCAATGGCTCAGCAGGACAGTCTGGTACTTCGTCTCCTCAGACTCACGAAAATATGCGCGAGGTGCCACAGCCACCAAGCACGGCTATGGTTGATGATGATAGAGCGAGTCTGCGTTCTGTGGCAACGCCATATGGTGATGAGGTACCATCTGACTCTGCTGATTCAACCAACAGCGGACCATTGGCGGGATTCTTCAACTTTTTCAAGAGTAATGAGCCTCCAAAGCCTCCCAATGTGTCGCAAAAGCAGAAGAAGATATACTCCAAGAGTCAGACTCTCAAGCTTGATGAGTTGGCGGACGGCAGTGTTGATACTGCTTCTGAGTCTGCTTCGACTAAACAGTCCAAGGTCACAACTGGTCATGAGGGCGAGGATGAGATGACTGCTCCCCCAAGAACGACTATCTTTGAATCTGCTGGTGATCTACTCAACCCCAAGGTACCCGATGTTGAGTACCTGATCGATCCATCAAAGCGGCCTCGAACTATCTTCCATGACCGTGTTTATCACCCAGCCGATATACCTGGTCCACCATTGAAAAGACGTCCTACTACATTGGTCAGAAGGAAGACGGGCCAACGACAGAACTCGATAGGACAAGCCTCTACCAGCAGCGCAGATTCGTCGCCATATCCTCATGTGAATCATGAGGACAGTTCTTTATCAGCGAAAGACTACGATGATACAGCTCACACGAATCCCGATAAAGATATTCATGAAGTTATCGACACGTCAAACATGCGAGTTGAGGAGAAGATTGCAAGAGCCTACCACAAGGACCTGTCATGGAGAAAGGTTCTCGTCAAGGTTGAGCCCGATGCTCACAACAACGTTCTGGTCCGCCGCATGTTTGCCAACGCGTATGGCTGGCCTGTCATCAAGCACTTAGTCGATGCCCACTTCAGTGACTCGGCGGCCTCTCGCCTCCGCGACGAGGACGAACACAATCGTGAGCGGGCCCGTAACATGAACGAGCCACCTGACGAGCACGGAGCCGAGCTCAAGAAGAGTCGAGACAACTTGGCAAGTATGACTCGAACGGATAGTGAGTCTCGGGAAGCTATGGACAAAGTATCGGATCTTCCGAAGTCACAGCAGTCCAAGAGAGGGAGCGACGCATCAACGCACCAGCGGCCAAAGACGGAACGAGCGGACTCGGTGACATGGAGCGAGCGAGACTGGCACGATAGCGACTGCGATAGTGATCTTGATTTTGGAGGTGATCTGCCTGCGCCAACGTCCCCGTCGGCGCTTCATCAGCAGGACAAGGGCAAAGAGGCGCAGGGGCCGTCGGGCGGGTGGAGCTGGACGGAGAAGATTGTGGGCAAGGGAGCTTCACGGGCAAAGAGTCCCGTGCATGGAGCTAAAGATGAATAAGTTTTGGTCTTTTTGAAGGTTGCGCATTGTTATTGTACGACTATGGGTTGAGAAGAGACGGGAGTTCATACAGGATAGAAGGGGCATTGAAGCGCAGCATGTCGATTCAGCGACAATGAATCTAGAGCCGGTCCAATTGATCAATACGCGAAATACCAATTCCAGTTGGAATACGTGTCCTGGGACTTATCGTAAGAGCTCCAAGAATTAGCTCGGAGCTTGAAGAAGCAAAGCTGTAGGTCTCAGTTCCAATGTCTCAGGTACCAAACATCTGGGAGCACTAATCGGTCGATTGTAGCACCAAACAGGCAAACGGGGCTTGAGCCAAAGAAAATCTCCATGATGCGAACTATGGGGAAGTAAGTGGGCAGACAGATTCTGTAGGCTAAAGACTTACGAAGAGTCGCCCTGCATAAAGAGGCTTTTTGGGAGGTGTTCGGTATGGGATGTCAGAGCGTTGAGATCGAGATCTGTATGAGACATGGCTTGAGTGATGATGGGAACATGATGGGCTTTTTTTCAGGGGAGTTCGAGTTGTTCGATTGTGTAAAGTCTGGTGATCTGGGAAGATTTGCTTCTTGGGAAGAGTATTGTGAATATGCATGTTGATCAAGGGACGTGTAATAAGGTTCAGCATGTGTTCACTCTTATAAAAGAACCCTTGAAGTTAAATCCAAGGGTCCATAATACAAAAAGCAACCCTTTTTCTATGTCAGATGCAAAAACGGCAAAAAGAAGGTACAACAGCGGAATTTAACCGCCAACGATGGACGAACAGGGAATCGAACCCTGGACCACTCCCAGATTATTCGGATGAATTATGCTAAGGGAGTATTATACCACTAAACCATTCGCCCGAGAATTGTTGAAGTAGTTCGTGGAAAATGCGTACTAAGTCGGCTGTTTGTGAGGATTGGTGATAGTGTCGATTTGTGGTGGGGTTAGAGATGAAGTGGGGGGCTTGAATCGTGCAGGTTGAATCTCTTGGCCAAGGCAGTGCATTCAGAAGATACAGTAGGTAGAGAAAGATGGAGACTGTTATACATACTTATATAAGAAAAAGAGGTTGTTTTAGAGGCATCGGTAGCAATAGAGTGTCATGTCCTATCAATCATCCTCGTGGTATAGAGAATACACAGAAATTGAGAGAAGATGCACGTGTAAATCAAGTATTAATCTATTCTCCAACCATGACGACCATGTGCGTCACCGTCCATTTCTCTCTGGGCTGGGGGCCTCCAATTCCACTCCCACTCCAAGCAAGCTCCAGCTCCAGCTCCAAAACAAACTCCAAGTTCTGGAGCTCACTAGAAAGAAAAAATCATCGTCGTCAGCTTCGCCACGGTTCTAGCCTTTCTCTCTCATACAATCCCTGTGCAATTCCTCTTCCCAACCAAAAGTTGTTGTTGAGCAAGAGGCAAACAATTCCTCTCTACTATCCGTACCTAGTCGCTTTTTTTCCTCACCGGCTTCTCTTCTATCCGTGCGGTTCGTGCCATAAAGATTTATATTACAGACGTCATGCTACGATAGTTTACTGTCCTGGTTCTACGATTCTTCTTACGGCACACTTTCCTACTCTGACATCACTCCCTCTGGCGCATTGCAGCAAAACGACTGCCAAGATGATGAGATTATACCTCCTACCGCTCTCGACGCGGCGAACTCTCCTCTATGCGAAACGGCTCGAAGCAAATACTGCGCCACAAGGAAGAACATATGTTGACAAGGGCACTGCCTTGGCGGCCAAGACGTGGGCGCAATGGGAGAAGATGGAGTCTGGATGGAAGCGCAAGGTCGTCGATTACGGCAACTACGCTTTTCGTCGCATCCCATATGAGGAATGGGGTCTCAAGTCTGTACCGCCTCTGTCGGTGAGACGCCGTGGGAAGGAGATTGAGATGAAGGAAAAGGTCGACTTGTGCTTCCCGAGCTCGGTGATACCGCCGAACAAGGCGGAGGGTATTCTCAAGACTCTTGCGACGGAGCGTCAGGCGCTGCACAAAAAGAGGCTTGTGTGGTGTATCGTCGGCATGCCGATTACTATTCCATTTGCGCTCGTGCCCATGTGAGTACATACCTCAGCCTCTTTGCTTTTTTTGTCTTTCTCGATCCGCTGACTAACATACACAGCATCCCAAATCTGCCCTTCTTCTACCTCGTCTACAGAGCGTGGTCACACGGCAGAGCCATCTCAGGTGGAAAGCATCTCCAATGGCTGCTGGAGAACAAGCTCCTACGCCTAGCTCCATCTGAGAAGCTCGATCAGCTCTACGCACTACACGCCCCACCAGCCGAGGAGCCGGACAATAAGGAGCGCACCCTTCTTACACAAAAGGAAGTTCAGACTTTCTCAGACACTCTTGACATGCCGGCTCTTGAGGTGGAGCTCGAGAGGGCTATATGGCAGGTCGAGCAAGCCGTTCAAGACCCAGATAGTCAGAGCCCACCTAAAGAGAGTTCACCTGGTGCAGCTGCCGAGAAACCAGGGTCCACTGAAACGGTGGACAAGAAAGATCAATGAGAAAAGAAGATGATGAATTAGTTACGCATGAGTTTTCGTTTTATGTTGGACGATGTATGATACCTATGTACTGAGGCAGGAGTGTATTTTGGCACGGTTAAAGAAACGGTTGGAAGTATTTGTATTTGTATTGTATTTGTGTTTGTATTAGACTGGTGTGAATACCTAGGAAAAGGCAAAGGTGAAGGCAAAGGTAAAGGAAAAACAGGCGTAAGTACGCGGGTATATCTATAGAAAAGGTCCTCTCCCCAACGCGCCGCGCCTAACAAATGTTGGCGTAGTGGTACAATCGCAATTATTATCATAAAATTCATGGCTTTTCGTTCATCTTGGCCCTTCGGCCCAAGTCATAATGTGTCAGCTGCTATGAGCATCTCGCGGACCTTGAGAGCGGGGAGAAGCCCGACGAGGCCCATGGCCAGCACCATGCGTCTTGTCCTGAGACATGTGAGATCGGGAAGACGAATTTTGTTGGCAATTCGGTGGGCATCGGAGAGTGAGAAGTTGAGGCCGAGGTTCTTGAGAGCAGGCATTGAATACAGGCAGTGCTAGAGCAATGTTAAATGAGACTCTTGGTGAGATGAGATGTACTGATGAATAACTTACTCGGCTCTTTGGTGGTACCTTATATCCCATGACAGCAGCTTCAGCATATTCATACTGAACAACCTGAGCGCTCAGAACATGTCCTCTCCAAGCATCCGCTGCCTTTACGCGGAGGAGTCGTTGAGTGAGAGTGTGAGAGCCAGGAGGGCCTCGTCGACTTCTTCTTCGGCGCACAATGCGTCCTGAAGCTGTGGCATATTTGTTCTCGGGTCCATGGTTCGTGGGGTTGAGGGGAGATGGAAAGACTGGGGCGTACGAAGACGCATTGTGATAGGTACAGGCGACCATTGTTGCTGTAGTTGTTTGTTGTTGTTTGATGTTTGATGGTATTCAGTATATTGCTTTGTCTGAAGGATGAAAAAGAGAGGAATCTCAGAGGGAGACCAAGTTATGGAATATTACTCTAGAGGGAGATGTAAAAGAACGAGGGATGGTGATACTATCTGCTCAAGAGGATATCCTCGAATCCTTATATTCAATTCCTCTCGAGTAAATCTGACACTAGTGCCATCACTCTATCCTCCCCAAGCCATGTAATTAGAGCAAAAAAATGATCTCCAGGGGCTGGACGGCCCAATACTGTCTGAGTTAAACATCGATGTTCTACATTGGAGGAATGCTCTCTGCGCGTATAAGTCGTGACCCTTGACAAAGATGGAGGTCCCCACCAACAGAAAAATGGTTCGGTTCATACGGAGTAGTGTGGAGGCTTAAAACCCTCTAGTCAGGTACAGAAAGTGAGCTGCAGCGACTCAGATGATCAGACACGGAGCACTAGAAAAAGCAAGGAGACGTGCAGACAAAAAAGGAGTCTGAAGAGAAACTACTGCAGGTCACAGTAGGAAAAAGAGACTAAGAGATTGTGACGAGACAGACACCAACGGGCGAGACATGAGGATCCTGTGGGAGTGGAGAGAGGCTCGTGTCTTCTTTTCCATCCCTTGATATCGTGGGCGGGGGCCAGAGACAGAGACCTGACCTGATAAACTGCCAATATTATTGGCTTCTCTCCCTCAATCGATAAATTCTAGAGTTAACAAAACCCCTTCGATTGTAGAATATATCCATTCTATCCATTGTGAGAAAGGTTTGATGGGGAACTAGACAATAGGACTGTGGGAACGTGCTCGATGATCTCAGCTAACGAGGGGGAATACAATGATCGTATCCATCCATTATTTTATCGGCCCGCGAGCTACTAACAACAAGACCTGAACTTTACGCGTCCAGGACGTGTCAGTCAAAATAAAGATCGGGCTTAAGCTGGGTTAGCCTACAGCTCTGGTTGGTTGGCTTGTTAGTTTGTTAGTTAGTCAGTTCGTGCAACATAGAATAGATAATTCAAAAGCTGAAAGGGCATCATTGTTCCATCTAAGTTAGTCCTAAGCGAGTGAGTTGACCAAGACCTGTCCGTCCGTCTCCAACGCCGTCCCTTCCCCTCCCCCTCCTTCTGATCAAGCCCGATTCTGACTTGAATTGTCCGATCTGATTACTGTATTACCCAATGTTTGATGCAAAAGTCGTTACTCTGAAAAAGACAATAAAAAAGACCGTTGAGGTCCTCGAGAACGACACCTAGAAAATAAAACAGTGGCATCGTCTCTTACTCTATCCTGTTTCTACCTCATGAGATGAAGGTAGCTTCGGTAAAGATGGTGCCCTCCTCGACGATCTCCTCATCTCCAATCTTCAGCTTCAGGGAGAGCTTGGGATGGTACTATAGATTTTATAGTCAGCAAGGGGGTTAAGTTCAGACCCAAGTCTCTCGGAAATTAAATAAAGGAAAAACTGAAAACTGTACCTGATAGATGTATGGCTTTGTGCCAGCTGCAGCTGCGACAATCGTCTTGACGAACCCGGGGACTTCGGCCATGACGTCAACTCTATCAACCCTCTCCCCGAGAGATCCCTCGACCGAGGCCTCGACGGCTTTTCCGTCCTTGGTCTTTCCGGCCCAGGTGTACTTGGCGTCGCTCGGCTCAGGCCAGTCGTTCTCTGAATCCTTCTTGACCTGAGTGTGCGTGGCCGTGTTGTCGACGCCGCCGATGACAATCTCGCCATCCTTGACAATACCACCCACGTTGACGAGGGTAGAGCCGTACGAGGGAGTGCTGGTGAACTCCATCAACACAGCTGAATAGGTGGGACCCTGAAAGTTAAGAAAGTTCCATCGAGATGCAGCGTGGTGCGGCTTCATGCCCTGAAGGGCGTAAGCGAAGAAGGCCTTGCCCTTGAAATCCATGGGGCCGTCCTTTGTGGTGATGGTACCCTCAGAGACACAGCGAGGCCAGAAGGCGTGTCGCATAGATCCCCACGGGTTCGCCATGTCTGTGCCGTACAGAGTTGTTCCTGTGGTTCCGGCCTGGAAACCAGGTGTGGAGCGGGTGATCTTGAGGTTGACGATGGCATTGGGGTCGTTCATGCTCTTGATGGTGTAGTAGGTGCCATCCTCGGACAGCTCGATCGCGCAGTCGTCGGCGTAGAAACTCGTCTTGTCCTCGTTGAAGTCGTGGTTGTTGAGGGGTGTAGAGGCCCAGAGGTGGGGCTTGGAAGGGTCTGAGCTGAAGACCTTTGCGTTGAACTGGCAGGTTGTTCGAATGCCACTTTGAAGATATTAGCAGAGCCATATTATGATATTGGACAGTCGAGACATACGCTACGTTACTATAGATAAGCTGGGCAAGGGCGATTTGACCGTTGTCGCCAAAGATGTAAAAGGTATGTGTCTCAACAGAGGTAGAGTCCATAGCCTGCCACTTCAGGTCATTTCGAGAGATCTCGGTGTAGGGAGTCTTCTCGGCCTCTGTAGCGACAGACTTGATGGCAGATGGGCCGTAGATAGGCTCCTGAGTACCGGCGACATTGGCCAGTCTATAGCGGTCAGTATTTTTACATGAAGCTCTCCAGGGTCCATCTCATGGTGGGGTCAAGGAAGGATCTGAGGGGAGAGTCTATAACGTACTGTTGCTTGGCCCAGTTGAACATGATGAATGTGTATGAGGGTGTTTTAGTGCTTGCAAGAGGGAGAGAAAAGGGTTCTGCTTCGAATGAGGTTGATGGGATGATGGGTCGAGAAATGAACGAAGGAAATGCTGGGGACGTCGTTAATTAGCCCAAGGCTGGCTACGGCATGGATTGGATACTAGAGCTGCAGTCCCAAATATCGATGTCACTTTCACACCGCTGGGCCTGCTTTTCTGTGGCGGCACCCGCCTGATTTTCCCCTGGGTCATGGAGGGGTACTTGGATGATGATTGTGGCTGGTGTCAGAATCGATGATGTGGGGAATGACGTGTGTTGAGCATAAACGCGTACCAAGGCGCGTCTATCTTTTTACAGCTTTTTTAACTATTAGTACAGTGTCTTGTATGCATGTTACACTGCTGCAGAATGGATATCCTCCTTACAGCATGTCGAGAAACATGAAGATGTCCAGTCCTGCGCCACGCATGTCATTGAATAGGAGTAGGTAAAACTGCTTATTTAGTGTGTTGAAGAAACTAATGTGCTAATGTAATTCCCGTAGCTTCCGGCATCCACTTATTGTAAATCAGCGCCGGGCTGGGCTGGTAATCTCATCTCAAAATCATGCCTAGATGGTCCCATGATGCTGAACTTACCCTACAGACAATCCTTGTGTTTTACAGGAGTCGTGACAAGCGAAAATTGCTAATGAATTGTCCATTTCAACTGGGCATATGATTTTATGGTTTCGAATTACATCCAACATGGTTGTTTCACGATAAACTACTTTGTCGTATCTCTGTTGTCGTGAAGAGGTCAATAAATGTCCTCAAACACAGAACCACAACAAATGAGATGACCAAACAATCAACTGAACTAGATTGTGAAATAACAATGAACTGGATAAAACATCAAGAAACATAAATATTTATCAGACGAGTTAAAACCATACAGATAATAGTTTACATTCAATGCTCATTTTCCAAGCTATAACCCAAGGCACTTACGGGTCTATATCCATTCATCAGTAAGATAGGATCCAAGTTAATCAGTATCAACATCGTACTCGATTATCTCGGATCTACTCAGTAGTTTCGGGTATATGAACATAAATACGAAATGTTAAAGTTTGCCTTACCTTATCTTATCCCTCGTCCCTCTCGACAGGGGGCAACAAAGGAACAAAGTAAAATTCCCAGGCACTGCAAAGTGACCAATCAGAAGGCGTCCCTAGTTATTACCTGTAGTCTAAAACCCTTCGGCCCGTCATCTACTGCAGCGACACTGGGGGCTTCAGTGCGCGACGCGCTCGGCCACTGGACTTGATTTGACTTCTGATCGCAACCTTCCAGATCCAACCTCAACTTGTCTCTTTCCTCATCAGCCCAGACCAGCCCAAAACTTTACATTGTATCTACCAACTTTACACCAAAACACGAACTATAACCTCGCGATTACTACAAACTCATCAGCCTCATTGCGACTCAAAGTCATCGACGCTTGCCCTTGCGCGTCAGTCAGAAGTAGAACTGCCGAGCAACCACCATCTTCACAATCTTTATCGAGCATTATCGATAACATCCCGCGCCCTTCTCCCTATCGATTACTTACCATACCTTACCTTACTTCAGCCCTGTATCGTTTTGCAGGAAATTGTCACTATGGAGGAGGACGGGGCGCAACTCCTGCAGCAGACAGGACTTGATCCTATTTCTCGACCAGACTCGACTTCAACGTCTGCATCAGCTTCGTTACCACACGTATTACCAGGCATTTCGGCTCTTGCTGCTGCCAACGCAGCTACTGAAGCGACATCTCAACTAAGGTAAGATAAGATAACCCAAGAACTGTTCGTCATTCGTGACAATCAATGCGCGATTGATACTGCAGACTTGCGCTCGAGCCTCCATCAAACAAACCCTCCGACACCTCCATAACCAAAAAATTGATTGTTACTAACCCCTGTCTGCAGAGCATCGGCCGCTCCGTCGCCCGCAATGTATGCCACTGCATCTCCTGCCGCTACGAGTGGGGGATCGGGAAGTACAATGGTAAGTCGCGACCATATTTCATTATCACAATCTTATCAGCACTTCTCCCCGTTGCACTTTATATGCTGGGTCTGCAGCCGACCTATGTCATTTCCTGCAATCTTATCTCTCGAGAACGGATGCATCCTGTCTAGGCCTGTCACGTTTTTTGCGGCGCCAGCTCAGTTGGCCCCTGCCTTATCGCCGCTGATTGATATAATCACGTGTCTTATCTCCAAGCCTTGCCACACTAATCCCTTACGGGATGGTCGATGGGTCTCGGGCTTATCTGGCTTATCAAGCGCAGCCAGTTACGTTGCACCCAAAGATTTTTACTCCATCCTCTTATCGTGGCCGAGATAATAATCATCGCTCTCCCTCCCGCCTTCGCATTGTATTGATTACACTGTACTCACTTTACACTCAACAACCGGCACCATGATGGCAACTAACGGATCAACGCAGCCTACCTGCCAAAATTGCAGCACCTCTACAACTCCATTATGGCGTCGCGACGAATTTGGCTCGGTTTTGTGCAATGCCTGTGGCTTGTTCCTCAAGCTACATGGTAGACCCCGGCCAATTTCGCTCAAGACAGACGTTATCAAGAGTCGCAATCGAGTCAAGACAATGCGCCCTGACTTGGCGAATAAGAAAAAGGTCAGTCCAATGCGCTCAGAGGCATTGCGCATTGCTAACACAAACTAGCAACAACAGCAGCAGCAGCAGGCAGCTGCGCAAGGCTTCCCTACGACCGATGCAAATGGATTCGACACGACCGGACATGCTGCAGCGGCCGCACACGCTGCTCAAGCCGCGCGACGAGCGTCCCAGAGATCGAACGGCCACGACGGAGCCGACTCACCAATTTCCCGCACGGGTACCCCCTCTATGTACGCGCATGGCTTGTCCCAGTTCATGGTCGACGACCCTTACCAGACCGGCTTTGTCGCAACAGGGGAAGGTCGCGCGTCTTCTCCCACGAACGGGGATCGCAAAATGGACGCGCCACAGACGCATGAGCAGCTCATTGCGCACAACTCAAGCCTGAAGACGCGGGTCAGCGAACTCGAAGTGATTATTGAGCTTTTCCGAGGCCGCCTTAGCCAACTCGAGCAACAAGAAGCTGTCGTTCGAAGCGGACAGCAGTTAAACCAGTTGCGCTCTCAACTGGAGCAAACACAGGAAAGCGAGGCTCAGCTACGTCGCCAGCTCGAGGATAGCCATCGACGGGAGAGTAGCCTCAAGCGACGTCTAGATGACCTTGAACTTGAGCTTCAAGCTTTCCAAGGAGCCAACTTGGCCCCTGGAGAGAGACCCGCCAAGAGACCACGTACTATTGAAGAGCCCACAAAGACACAAGCAGAAGCAGATATCGAGGCAGCTGCTGAAGCATTGCTGGCTTCGGAAGCCTCCAGACCGAGTGAGGCTGTCGAATCTGCCCCTGTCGTGGATGCTCCTGAGCCAACTGAGTTGCCACAACATTCTGAGGACTCAAAAGAAGATTCTGTACCCAAACCTGAGGATGAGATCGAGGCAGCTGATGTGCCGATTGATCCTAACATGCCCGTAATTGACGATGTTTCTCAACCTGCGGTCGCAGAAGAAACAACGAAAACGGAGGATGTTGAGATCCCTGACGCACCTGATGCATCTGAAGCACCTAACGCGCCTGAAGCAGCGGAAGCAACTGAGGCAACTGGAGCAACGGAGGCAGCTGATGCTTCTGCCACCGCTGACGCCTCTCCTGAGGCTACCGAAGGGACAGAAACTCCTGCACCCGCCACTGCAGCTACATGATAAGAGTGATGTTGTAAATGTCTCCGACTAGTAACGAAATGAACTTGATATTCGCGCCAGTTTAAACGACTGACGTTTCATTTGTCATTGATCCAACGCTACTGTCAGATTCATTGCTCGGTGTCTTGGCACCAATCACGACTCATGTTGATTTATACCCCCCTGGTGCGAGGCGTTTGTCGCCCTCGCCTTTTTTGTTCATGATATACCTCCTAGCGGCAAGGGCAGCGAGGATTCTAGGCGTTTTGGCCTGTTTGTTTCGAAGTATAAGAGGTGATTGAGGAGCATACAAATGTTTTAATGGGACGATGAATGCGAATGCGAAACCCATACACGGTACGAGGATTCAGTCAGTCTTGGTTGGGAGTGTGGGATTTTTCGGAGTGCGAGAGGAGATGGAGAATATGGTAGTTATCAAAAAGTTTAGCTGCTCTTGCAATGGAAAATAGACACCGACTTTGATTCATCACTTATCTGATATGATATGATATGATATCGATAGCATACAATGAATGCCTTGTGTAGCATGGCGTAGAATGTGATAAGCCTCGACCGTTGAAACCTCTGTAGTGGGTGACTTGGGACGCCAATTATTTCACCTGTATCTATGTTTCCTCCCTCTCTAAATGAAGATAATTCTAGTCCCTTGAATTTACTGTGTTGCCTATCTTTCGTTCTCCTGACAGTGATTGCCAGTGATTGTCAGTGATTAACTGTCGCAGTCACGTGCCCTAACAAAGATGATACAGAGCAACAGAATAACACAAGCTCCCCTCCAACCAACAGAGAGATCACGCGAAGTACTCATTCCTCCAACATTCACCGAGAAGATACACCTGATTAGGCCTTTTCGCGCTACCTTATTTCACGATCCACAAGCGTTGATATCACGTTACTTAATCTTATCTTATTCTTGACTCACCCTTCACCCTCCTCAGCCTCACAACATGCCTACGGTACCCACCCGAGGCGGCCCCTCATCGTCGCGGCCTACGTACACTGGCGGCAAGGTCTTGCCGTATCAAAAGAAAGGTCAGGCTGTTCGTGGCGCTTCTGGGAAGACGGTCCTTGGAGGTCGTCGCCATCGGTAAAGTCAATCCCAAAGGCTAAAGCAAGACAATGAATCGCATACTGACAATCTCACAGCAAGATCCTTCGAGATTCAATTACAGGAGTCAGTAAGTTATACCAATCACCTCCCCTAAAGATCACTGCTAACAAAACGATTCAGCCAAGCCCGCTATCCGGTTAGTGAATCCTATTTACTATCTGCCTGAGACACATGAGCATCGATACTGACGCTGTGAAACATAGACGCCTAGCACGCCGAGGAGGTGTGAAGCGTATTTCCGCTGGCATCTATGAAGAGGTCCGAGCTGCACTCAAGTCACGCCTTGAACAGGTATGTAACATGTGTGCCATGCTTCATTTGATCTACCCATACTAATGTCGTCATCAGATCCTCCAGATGTGTGTGATTTACGTCGAATATCGAAATGCGAAGACTGTGACCGTTCACGATGTGAGTTTCTTACACTGACTACCACTGTTAAAGCGCACCCACTGACATACGAACAGGTCATTCACAGTCTCTCCCGGTTCGGTCGACCCATTTATGGGTTTGATCCAGACACATACGATGGCCAGCACAAACCCAAGGCCTAAACCAAATCATTCCTGCGAATCATATTTTACGTGTCTTCCATTTGACATGAGCGGTGTTGGGCGTCATTTCAGCGCATTGTTTGAGCATGTTGGACCAGGTTGCGAGTTTAATACCATGAGCATTTGTGAAAGGATAAGGAAACAGAAAAACTGTCATACGGGAAAAGGCATATTCTGTTTAGGAGAATCGAAAGATTGATTGATATTGATCATGAGCTGTGCCATAACCTATAAATTATGAACTTCTGTAAACGAAAGGAATATGATATGATCTGGGGTATCTCAAGTGACAGTACGAGTAGTAGGCACGGTATCAAAAAAAAGAAAGAAAAAAAGAAGAAAAAGAAAGAGAGTCGCTCCTCCGACCATTACATGCTTCCTCCGATAGCATCTCGTCTTCCCCAATTCAGAGTCTAATACTCTAGCGTGTCCCCTCTTCTAGTGGTATCTTTGTAGTTGTTAAGTGGTTGTAACTTCTTTCCGTCGATTGCATCGTCTTCTGGGGTATTCGTTCAAAGCAGTCTTTAAATCTTCTCCTTGTCGTCTTCCATTCCTCCTCATCTCATCATCGTCATCTCATCTATCACGTTCTGTCGATAACCGATTCGTCGATAGGTGTTCCTCATCCCTGGCATGCGTGAAGTGATGGTTGACCAACTCAACTCATGTACCTCCTCTTCTTAACCAAGTCCCAGTTGGACAAGATACCATCCAACGCCCTGGTAGCTCGGACCTCATCACGTCGGAAGGGAGCGTTGAAGATGCCGGGAAGGAGCATGGCGCTATTGGCATGCTCTTGAGCGAATCCAACTTCAGCATCTTTTCCACAACGTTCCTTGGTAACACGGACAGCCTCTTGGAGGAGATCCTTTCCAACACCCTTTCCACGGTAGTTGAGGTTGGTAGTCCACGCGCGAATGACACCCTTGCCTCCTCTTAGAGAGAGAGATCGTCTGCGCCTGTGGTGGTTAGAAGTCGGGTTGGGCTCAAGGCGAAGAACGAGGGTTCCGATGATGTCTTGGTTCAGTCGAGCAGCCAGCAGGGTATCCTCCTCTCCGTCATCAGCACGTAGCCAGTTCCATCGCAAGCGCTCAGCCAAGGAAATGTAACCGTTGGCCAAGTAACGAATACCCATAAGGTAGCTCATGATCACGCCGCAAGAAACCGTCATACCCAGTCCTGAGTCCCGAGTAACGCCGCCGAAATGATAAATGGCAGCCAAGGTTGCCGATAGGCCAGCAAGACAAAGCGGGTGGAAAACGAGGTTCAAAGAGGCCCTTTGGCGCATCTGGGCAATCGAGTCGGCGACGAGGCGCATGCCCTCAACCTTGTCTTGAGGCTTGTCGAGGACCTCAAGAGACAACGGCTCGATGTCATCGTCGTTGTCGAGACCAAAGTATGGCGTAGAGGCTGCAAGCGGAGAGGGAGATGGCGGGACAAAAGAGGAAAAGGGAACAGAGGGACCGAATTGCGGGGTACTGGTGGCTGAAGTCATTGCCGAGTGGAGGACAAGGTTGGCGCGGAGGAATGTGAAGAAAGCTATAGTTGTGATGTTAGTCATGGTGTTTTGGTTTACACATTTTGGTTCCGTCGAGGTTTGTTCCCAAGCCGGCTATGTTGAATATAACTCATGACGGAAACATATCAACACAATCCACCGTGTATAGAGCTTCCAGAAGCTACAGAATGAATAGTTCCAGCGCTTGAACGTCGAATTCGTGACCATCAAGTTAAGCCTATACGAACTGTCGTGTGCTCAAGGTTGTGACCGGGGTAGGCTTTGGTGGTGGCCATAGTAACCGAGCGACAGGGGGCTCTTACACCAGGACAAGGCCCCGAAAGAACCAAAGGAAGAGAAAATTGTAGGAAATCAGAGAAACTCACCAGCACTGGTCTTCAAAACCGGAACAGCACCAACTCTATCGACAACTGTGCTTGGGTGGCAGGTCCTCAGATCAAGCTCTCGAATAGCAATATGCTGAGGACCTTCCATGGTGGTGTAGGTGGCCATGGTGAGATATGGCGTATTAGACTACCTTAGATAAGTACTGGAGGTAGAAAGGAAGAATAAGATAAGAGCAGTCAAAGATGTAAGAAGGAAGCCAGCCTTCAGAAACAAAGTGGACTGGGGAAGACAATAAGGGTATAATGTATTATAAAGTCGAGATGTGATTATGTTTAACAAACAATAGGTCGAGGGAGGAAGAGGGAGACGGGAGAGAAATAGATCGAGACGAGTCCGGGGGAAGAGGAAGAGATTTCAAAGTTTCGAGAAGGGTAGGGTCGTCAGCTCCTGCAAGTCGAAAAATAGGCTTGGGAACGACCCGACGCTCTGGTGGCCGTAGCGTCTTTTTCTTTTTCGAATGCGACACACTCTGCATTAAGATCCTTGCATAGTGCGGCGCTGTCACGGCGTCGAGGCCGGATCCCTGGGCCCCTGGCTCATCCCTGAACTCGTTGGTTGGCGCCTCTGTGCCTCTATTTCTCTCGTGTGTGTCTGTATCTCGCGAGTTTGGACATATAAATGGTCTGCTTTGTTCTCTCTAGCGTGGATGCGGGATGGTGGAATCACTAGTAGCTGATTCTAGGCGAGTTTGCACATGTGGTAGTGGTGGTGTTGATGTCGGTCATGGTTGCGTGACAAGATACGCTATCTCGTCGAGCGATATCAATCGTCGTTGGCCTGGTCTCTTGAGAAGGATTCGGTGTAGTGGTGCACCTGCTGCAACGCACATATGTACTGTGGTTCCGTCACAGTATCTTCACTTTGATAATGATACCTATGCACCCCTCTTTTGCCTTATCTTCAAGATCTCACCCAATCATAAGAACTATATCTTGTCTCTCGGTGGTACCGTCATGTTCCAAGTTCAGAGCTTCACACTTCCCCTCCCAATGTAACTAATCGTCAGTGACCAACCTCATCAGAGGCGTTGTCTCTCGTCTCGTCTTTTTGTTGAATGACACAGCAGGGGGCATTTCAGCCTTCAGCCCCTCATCTCCACTTGGTTCCCAGCAACAAACGACTAGAAGCGGGGAGCCGAGACGACCAGCGGCCCAGAGCATGTTAGTTTATCGTTGGTGCCCTGTAGTCTCATAACGTTCAGGTTGGCCCATGCGAAATCGAAATTCCACGAGCACGCGACGGCCAGTCAATTAAATTTGATTTGATCCTGCCTTGACCTTGCTTGGGCCCCAGCTGTTCGATTTGAAATAAAGGGCTCACCTGGTTCCGGGGCAAGTTATAACGCAGCCGAGTAAGGCATGATTTCAAGGTGTGAGTGGACACACTGATAGCCCGTCTGCGTTGGCTCTAAAACCAACATCTGCAACCTTCATGTGCTTCAAGCTTTTGACAATCGGGCGATATCGATATCATTGATGTACAGGTCAAACTTTCATACAGAGGACAGATAGTAAATCGCCGCTTGGTACCGGTTTGAACGCGACATGTTCCGTAGCGGCCTTTACAGCTCGATCGTCAGGGGCCAGTGAAATCTGTTCCCAACAGCTGAATAGTCTAGACCAGCGACAACGGTGCCTCCTCATCGCACTAACCGTGCCGGCGCCGTTGTCTTGACGCCATCTCTCTCATGCGGCAATAGTCACTTGAGGAGTAACCGGCCAATCCAATAGTTCAGGTTGATACGATATATGTCGCTTGGTTCGGCTATCAACATCTCGGTGGTCGCAGCAAGAGTTGATCGTCCTTGACGTGACAGTTAGAAGCAAGAAACAACGTCGGAGGATGTTCAAACGTGTTCAAAGTGGTAATCTCCATGTTGGATCAACTCCACTGCTGACGTATCCAGCATATCCCTGGTTGCAAAAGGTGTTAACGCGCCAGCCAGCCATAACGCACAGAGGGGAAGGAAACCATTCGTGACAAGCATCTACCACCTAAGCGACGGATGTGTGGGGGAACAACCGAGGATGATTTCATCAACGCCGCCTGAGAACACGAATCCTTCGTTGTTACCAACGGTAACCGATTTGTTCGGAATCCTTTGGCCGAAGTTTGTGCTTTTTAGCCGCATGAAAGTATGTGATAGCAACTTAGTAGGTTTGAATAGTTATCGTTCTCTCCCACTTGCCGTACTGGCTCTAGCACAGTACGCGGCTCAACGACTTCGTTGACGTTGGTCGTTGATGTTCTCGTCATTGGGAATATGACACCCGTTTTCGCGATTGAAACTTTTTGGTCGACTGTGCTCACCCTGGTCCGTCTCTACAGGGTGCAAAATACGACTTTTTCGGTTGTTTCCCAGTCAATATTTAAGAGGTCGATGCTTCAAACCGCCATGAAACGCATGACAGTGAAACTGAGATGGAGCACGGAGCACAACTCGAAACACTCATGTCCGTCAACGTGTTTGACGAGTGTCGATCCAACCCCTCCTTGTTGCGACGAACCACAACGTTGTTGCTGTAGAATTCGCAGGGATGTTGTAAGGGAAAAGACCCTGAAACTGTATGTTAAAAGATCCTTGCGAGCAAACGTGATCTTCCGCCAGTTGAAGATGCTTATTGCAAAGGCCGATCGAAACTTTGTGGGATGATGTTAGCACTAAAAATCGCGAGAAGAGGCATTTAGGCAAAATTAATCTGTTTCAATGGCGGACAGTACGAATCACAGTATCGGGCGAGTACCTTCCATTCTTTCCTTCAGTTTCCATTGTTCCGACGGAAAGAAGCTTCACTGCTCGCTGGCTGCTCCTGCTGGAGTCTTTCAAGCATACGAGGCAAGTACTACAGTAACAAAGAAATATCAATTAATCCAAATTTTCATTTCATCATCTACTTTCTACCAATCATAAATCCTTCTTCGTGTGAATACCCATACAGGAAGATACTCCACCCTATCATCTTCTCAATCGATGTCCCAACACCATCCCAGCAAAGGCAATCAGTCGATAAGCAGTCCCGATTGCTACCAAAACACCAATGTTGAGCCACTTGCGGTCAAGATGATATCCAGTCGCCTCAGCTGCAATATCGACCTGAAAGAGGTATGCAAAAGGTGCCACAAGCTGCCCAAAGTACAGTTCTGCCAACCATGTAGCAGGAGATGCTCGCCAAAGCCACTCCATATGCCAATCCTTCACAGATGCCAGTGGAGGCGCGGAACCAGAGAGAATACCAGTGATGAGGGCAATCATGGTAGCAAACAGGGGTGCATCTTCGCGTCGAACAACCATGCTTACGATACTTGCAAGGCCATAAATGCAATAGAAGTACAGCAAATTTGTGAGGAATGCAAGGCCCCAGTCGATGATGGGTACAGACAACAAGAATAAGGGCACGGTGAAGTGCATGCAACCAAGTGCCATACGGGGAAAGACAGAAATAACCTTGGCAAGAAAGTAAGCCAGTCGGGAATGGCCTGCTTCGGCCTCTCGCCTGTACAAGAGTGTCTCTTCGGAGAATAGCTTGACTCCAGGGGCACCTGCAACAAGACCAATAGCAATAGCAATCAGAAGTGCGAACTGAGGTGCAGAGAAGAAGTCGATAGCTGTCGACAAGACCTCATATGGCTCGTGGAATAGACCGACAAACATAATACCGTTTTTGGGGTTGTTGGCGAGACCGAGCAGAGCACCTGCGAGAACAGCAAGACCCATCTCAGCAAACAGAGCAGCCCTCGCGCGATATTGCTGAAGCATTGCACGGCAGAGGCAGAGCCATCCTTGTTTGATATAGGGGGCACCACGCTTCTTGAGGGCCTGACGCATTCCTGTATCACCCAGCATCGTGGACCTGACACTTCTGCGGTCGTAAGCTTCTTCCGATTTGTTCTGGCGCATCTTAGCCCAATGCGAGATCAGTGCTTCCTTGGAAACATCACCGGCACTATTGTATTCCCGACCGTTACCAGTGATGATGTCGGTAATTACATCAGCATGGTTGCTGTGCTCTGGGAACTGGAAGCCCATGCTCTCGAAGTATGTCTGTGACTCCATTTGAGGGCCTTCATAAATGGTCTGTCCGTTACCGAGCAGGATGAGATTATCAAACAGGTCGAAAATTTCAGTTCGCGGTTGGTGAATGATGACAATGATGGAGATGCCGAGTCTTGCGATGGCCTTGAGCGTGCGCATGATAGAGGATGCTGCGGTAGCATCCAAACCACTGGTTGGTTCATCAAGGAAGATAGCCATTGGCGCAGCTGCCAATTCCATGCCGATGCTCACTCGCTTTCTCTGACCACCACTGATGACAGGCTTGCCTACGCTGCCGACCCGAGAATCTCGCACGTGTGAAAGCTCTAGACAGTCAATCACAGACTCAACATGAGCTTCAACATCTTTCTTGCTCCAGTTACGAGGAAGTCGGATACGTGCCGAGTGCACAATGTTCTCGTAGACCGTCAGCTCAGGCAACACGATATCATCCTGAGGCACGTAGCCTGTCAACTTCTTGTACTGCTTCATCTTGCCTGGAGTATTGTTGACCGCAACAATACCTCCAGTATTGCTTGTTTTGCCCATCAAAACATTGACAAATGTCGATTTACCAGCTCCTGAGCCACCCATAACAGCAACCAGCTGTCCCTGCTCAATAGAGCCTGTGACGTTCTGAAGGATGGGCCTTGGGCTCTTTTTGGGATGAAAGACGAGATCGGAGTATCTGAAGGAGAGGCCAAAGTTGGTTGCCTCAGCTGCTCGTCGCATGGATTCAACAAAAGCTTTGAGCTGTGGGTTGGCCTCTAGTTCTTTCTGCTCCTGTTCCGAGCTGTAGACGCTGTTCCGTGAGAGAGTAGCCTCAAAACCAGTTCGGGTTCGTCCTTCTCGGAAGTTTTGTCCGTACGGTGAATAAGGGCCGTAGCCAGGTTGCATAGGAGCCATCTCATTGTCTTGGTCTTCGGGCAACTCCTTGTACCCCCGTCCAGTGATGGTCGCTTTGACGGCTCTCATGGTCTTGTGTCTCTTCAGAGCACCAGCATGGGCCTTGGATGTTCTCTGCCACCGCGAACGAAACATCAAGACGAACATACCGACAAGGAGGAGGAAA